TAGTTCAGTATACTTAGCCCCCAAGTTGTATAAAATCAACACTTCAAATAAAATCTGTCAAGTCTTTTTCAAATTTGTAAGATGGTCTCTAAGTGAGGACACAGAAATAGGATTATTTCTTTAGGCCTTTAATGTTTATTTTAATGTCTATACAATATATTGTTAAAGCCTACCTCCAATTCAATTTTAGAACTTGTCACACACAGTATTTGGTGAAAGACAGCAAAGGTGGGTTATATGAATTATGTCCATGACTATGTCACTAGATGGCAGGATAAGGATATCTGTGGTCAAAGTTTTCTAGCCCATAAAAGCATACTTGAAAAAAGAAAAAAGCTGACAGATATTATTATTTAACTCGTAGGTGATTATTAATAAAGGAACAAACTAGCCTGTCAATTTTAATACATTTTTCCTAGTTAAAAAAAACCCCTATTATCTATTTTCTTCCCTGCGGCTTTAAGCCTTCAAAGCTACCCTATACCTCACTGCCAAATACAAAAATATACCAAATAAAAAGAAGATTCCAGTTCTCTCGTATTATTCACAGTCTCGTGTCTGAAGGGTGCCCCAAGACCAAACACCGTTCATTCCACAGTGTTAGGGGTTGAGTCATGTCTCCCAAAAATATGTTGAAATCCTAACCCTATGGTACCTCCAAATATGACATTATTTAGGAATGGGGTTGTTGCAATTTTAATTTGCTAAATTAAGATATACTGGAGTAGGGTGGGTCCTTAATCCAATATGACCCGTGTCTTTATAGGAAATTTGGATACAGATACAGAAGGAAGACAGCTAGGTGATAATGGAGGCCTCTGCCACAAAACAAGGAATACTTGGGGCTACCAGAGGCAGGAAGAGGCAAGGCAGGACCCTCCCCTAAAGGCTTCAGAGGGAGCGTGGCCCTGTCACCATTTTGAATTTGGACTTCTCATCTCTAGAACTTGAAGAGGATATACTCCTGTTGTTTTAAGCCACTCATTTGTGGTACTTTGCTGTGGTAGCCCAAGGACACTAACACACAGTTTTATGAGTTCTCTTATCTTCCTGCTTTAGACTTTGGGACTTAATTTCCCCAGTTATCACTTTTCCCAGCCCTTAGACTTACAACTGCACTCTTTATTCTGGCTTTAAGTTGTATTTCCTTTCTTAACTATAAGTAATGATCTTCCTCCAATATTTTACAAAACAGAGGTGCACCGGCGGAGCTAGCCCACATCAGTTTGTAGGAGCCAATTGTACAATTTTAGGAATTCTGCAGCTGATTGCTAAAAACAGCTATTATTTTAAAACTCACACTGTACAAGCTTTAAATTAGGTAAGCTATACTAAAACACAGGTAATAAATCATAAAAACTCATCAATTCCTAATTGCTCGACTACATTTTACTACAGTCTATGCTCATAAGGCTATTCATGTCTAATGTGTCCATACGATGGGAAAGCTTTATAATCCAGTGCTACTGCCCATCTTTTCCTAACTCACTTTGGTAACTTGAAATCAGCCATGGTGGAATATTTGCAGCATGAAAACTGTCAAAAGCTACAAGTCAGTTACTTTCATATTTTCAGAGAGATTTTGTAAGTATTTATCAGCACATCATTGAAATAACCTATAAATCCATTCTATAAACCAAGTGGAACTGGCTATAGAGGAACAGACCCAGGCAAGCTTCACTGAACAGATCTATTTTCAGGGCCCTGTTTTGTACCTTTCAGAGGAATTTAGAGTTCAGCAAAACAAGTAAAAGCAAATAAAGGACTCTATTACAAATAATGAAGGCAGAGAGATTTGAGAGGGATTGTGAGGAGGGGATAAGGCTGACTTAGATGCTGGTGACCTACTTTTAGTGTTGTCTACTAAATCTCCCAGGGGAGTGTTTAGCTCTGATTATAAATATTAATTAGATTCCAATCAGAGTACTATTTAGAGGATCTGTGCTCCTTGGGCAGAGACATTTCAGATAGACAGATGATACATAGATAGATACATAGATAGATAGACAGATAGACAGACAGTGATATATATCACATACACATGTGTAAGTCATTCAAGTTGGTAATAAACTAGATGACTTTAAGCTGTAAAACAGACTCAACCCAGCTACAAAATTATAGGTGAATTAAATTATAGGTGAATCTATAAATGGGCAGGGTAAAATCTTTGTAGCTCTAGCAGATATATAATTTCACTGTGTATGGATAGAATCAACATTCTTGGGTTTTGTTATAGACATCTTCTTTGTTAAGCATATATGACCAGCTGAACAAAAATATTTATAGAAACAGCACCTCTACACATTTAAAACAAAGTTCCAAAGAAGCCGATACCCATTAAATAAATTGTTTCCTAAAATTCTTAAGGATAATTTAGGGCTGTAACCTGCTTGATATTATTCTGCGTTGTGGGGAGTGGAGTCTCAGATTAGAGAATCTGCCCCAATCCTTGAACTCAGTGCTAGCAAGTTAGGAATGATACAAACTTTCAATCAATGCCAGAGAGAAGGTGAAAGGCCTTTTCTCTTTTAATTACAATGCCAGCAGCAGATTAAGGAGTGGCATTACTCACACCATACAAAGTTTGCTAAATCTACTCTTGTTGTAACTACTGTGTCTCATACCAGGAAGTGTTCTAAGTGTGGAATGTATGAAGCATGCATCACATCACTGTTGTTTTGTGACCGAGACATTCTTTTAAAACCTGTCATCTGAATCCAACAATGTTCCTATTAAATTAACCACTAGGTTTCTTTTAAGGATAAATAAGAGGCTCCCTTTCTTTCTCTGTAAACACAATTCAACTGGGGAATAAACTCAGTCTCTTCAAGTTCTCTGTAGTTTAACAGCCATTCTTAGTTTCCTTAGGCAGTCTCAATAGAAAAAAAAAGCATCTCCAGCTCATACATAAAGCAGTCAGAAAAGGAAGAATATATGAGGTAGTCTGGGTCTAATATATATCAAAAACACAATTACTGTAACTAGTTTCATAATTTTACTTTTCAATATAATAGGCTTGGGGAAACACCCTAAGTATAGGTTGTTGCTGGCAGATGCTATTAAAGAAACAAGAGGTGTTTGGAGGTAGACAGAAAGACTGAAACAGGAAGGGAGCACTGCTAAGAGTCAGGGCTCAGCAAAACATGAAATGGGTGCTCTGAAGAGCTTCCCCCCATTTCTTTCTCAGTTCTCCCTGTGTGCCCTCTTCTTCTCATCTATGGCCCTACTCACTCCTACACCAAGCCTCCATCCTCGATCTATTACTGCCAAGTTCTTGTCAACCAATGCCCCAAATCAAGATGTGTAATTATCATGTCAGGCTAATAGCAACTGGTTAAACCTCTCATACATTTTGTTTTTAAATCATAGACAAATCTTAAAAACAAAAAATATTCTCAAGACCCAAAGGTAAAAAAGACCCTTTTTTTTTTAACATTTTGGCTATGAATGTCCTCAGATCAGATCACATAAGCAGTAATGACAGGGTTAATACAATCTATTAGAGGCCTAATAAGAGTTCTGTGATTCTAACATATTTCAAAAATTAGCATTTTGGCATTCAGAATGACTCTATTTTAAACTAAAATTGTCAGAAAGCATTAAATTAAGAATTTTCCAGTCTTAACTAAGCATTTCTTACAAAGTTTACATTCATTTTATATTGCACTAGCACAAAGTATTACTTTCCATAAAGGTCATATTTTTAATTTCAGAGGGTTTTTCTCTGCAGACATTTAAAATGGAAAAAAAAACCTTCTGTTTTAGTTATCATCAGTATCAAATACTAATTTTACTGTCTGTGACTAAGCAAAGTAGGTGTTCCTTTTTTGTAGGTTATATCGATGATGATTTGATGATAAACTCTTTTTATTGACCAAGTTCAATGTAGATACTGCATTTGTAAAGACTCTTCTCAGCCAGCCTTCTGCTGAACTTTGTGAGGGTTTCATAATAAAAAGCTGTTCTTGACTGAGATGCAAGCCTTCCATAATTACATGTCACAGTGCAATTCTTATTCAATGAATTTGTGGTATTCCAAATTTAGGACAAACCATGTAGGTTTATCAGTGAGTTGAGATTTACTCTTGGTCTCCTTTGAGTCCATTACATGGTTGTTTCAACTTTAAAACGGCCACTTAATTTATAACTATTTTCTTTATTTTAAGAGTAAGAAATAACATACAAATTTCTGACATGTTGACAAGAGAACTTCAGCAACTTTCTCCCTGACATGAAATATTTCACTGGAAGGCCTGTTTCCTATCCCTAGGGTTCCTATATGTGGCTACACTAAAAAACAAACTCTGAGATATACACATATCTGCCTATGAGTTTACAAGTGTAAAACTTGAACGACATCTTTTAGAATGAAGGCTCAGGAGGACCAAGAATACAAATACGTATTTGTCCCCGAAATAGAAGGGCCATATTTTGAAATATTCCAATGGAACCCCAAAATCAGAGTTTACCGTATGGAAAACAGGACCCTCTTCTTGAAGATTATCAGCACAAATTCAATGTTGACTCAAACCTACAATCTATATCGCTCATAACTTATTGATAGAAGTAGCTCAAATAGATTATTCTTTTATGAAAGACAGCTTTTTCACTAGTTACGCTCAATATTTTCCCTCCATAATTAAAAAGTTGCTCAATAATTTCCCCTTTTTAATATCCACCGCTGTCTTCAGTAGCCATATAAATTATCCTGGCTATTTAATTCTTCACGTCTGCTTCCGGGGGTACAGTGTTACATTTAGTAAGGCGATTAATTTAGGTTGTACATTGTCACTGAACTTTTGGTGAAATACACTTTTTATAAGTATAACATTATTAGTAAGGGCTTCTAAAGCTAGATTTTTGCCTCAGGAAGATGGGGGATGGGGAACGATGCTACATTTAAAGTCATTTTTCTGCCCCTAACAATTTGTTAACTGCTATAAAGGTTTCAGGTACCAAGCAATTTCGCCGGGAAAACTGAAAATCGAATACCCATATAAGGAACTCCCACCTAAAACAGGACGCTGAAACTACCACTAGCAGCGGACGTGGGAAATTTTCCGTTGTTCATCTTGCCGGTGATATACGGTACAGGGGTTGGCCCTGGTTGGGTCCACCTGCCAGAGGAGTTTAAAGTTTCCGAGGCTCCGAAGAACACAATGACTTGGATCAAACAGCCTACATAGAGAGACGGATATTTCTGCTGCATCGAGGAAGCCATTCAACGCCTGCTAAACTATGTGTCTCTTTTTTATGCGTCCACGCGCACAACCGACCTTCTCTATCACTGACTAGAGATTATTTGTGACAACCCAGGATATTCCGAAAGCTTGGCGATTCATGGCTGGAAAATGAAACGACGCGGGAAGTGTGGCCACATCATTACATGGTGTCGCGTGGTACCAGATGTGTAGTCAGTGAATTGCGCAGGGATGTGAACGGATAGTTTTATGCGATTTTTCCTCCATAAAACTAAAACAGACTTCATTTCCTTTTTTTTTTTTTTTTTGGTCTGTACTACTTGCGTTTTCCCCCTCTGCAATATCAATTAACTCAACTTTGCAGTGAGGTGGCCAAATAGCAAGAAGATGAAGTGGTCTCTATAATCTTGGTCGAGAGTCAGAGGAGTTACAGCGCCCCGGGAACGGCAGCTGCGACCCGCCGCGTCCTGAGCAGATTGCAGGGTGGAAACCGCGCAGGCGGTTATGGAGCGGACAGTGCACCCAATCTGCGGAGCATAGAGACCGGGGCGGCGGAAGGGGTCCTTTCATCTCGCAGCAGCCTTGGAGGCCGCTGCTGCCTCTCCTCCGCAGCGTTTTATTACCATTATCATCGTTCTTGAAAAGTCATGGAAGACGGGCCGCTGCCAGACCTCAGAGACATAGAGCTGAAGCTGGGACTCAAAGTACCTGAGAGCCTAGTGCGCTCGCTCCGTGGGGAGGAGCCGGTTCCCCTGGAAAGGGACGGGGACCCCTGCGGGGGGAGCGGCGGTGGCAGTGGCGGTGGCGGAGGCTGCAGTAGCAGCAGCAGCAGCTGCAGCCTCCCTCCCTCCTTGTCGTCCTCCTCTTCGTCCTCCCCAACCTCTGGTTCCCCACGACGTAGCCACTCCAGCGCCCTGGAGAGGCTGGAAACCAAGCTTCACCTCCTCAGGCAAGAGATGGTGAGTGCGGTGCGCCGGCTGTAGGAGCGGGGCCCCGGGCCGAAAGATGTGGCGGTCAGAAGCTGAGGCCGGGGGAGAAAGGGTGGCCAGGGCTACAGATCTGACTGCTGTGCGCGTGGGAAATGAGGGGTAGAGGAGCGCGTATGGGGTGCGCGTCAGGAGGCAGCGGCTGCGAGGCTTGTTTACCCCGGACTTTGCTCGGTCGGGGTTTGCGAGGACAGCAGAGCCAGCTCTGCTCGGTGTACTTTCTGATGGCGCGGACTCGGTGCTCCCACGTCTGACCATGCAGCTGCCAGCCCGCAGCCTCCCCTGCACTAGGCCTGCGGAGGGTTTGCAGTTACTAACACCCATCTGGGGCCTGCTAAGATCCCTTCACACTTTCGGTTCAAAAGGTGGCTCAGTCTATTGCACTTAACTGCAAAAATACTTCCTGGTTTGCCGAAAGGTGGCGCGGCGGGGTCCCTGCAGCCTTCCTTCCTCTCTCACTCCCCTTCCACCACTACCACCTCCGCCCCTTGGTGCAGCAGTTGCAGCTGTTCCAAGGCCACTGTGGAACTGATTCTCCACAGCTGGTTCTGCAAACAATGGCCCACTCGTCCTTGAAGTTCTTATGAATAGATTGTTACACTGTTTTGATCTGAGAGAGCAGGTGATCCTCAGGCCTAGGGATTTGTTAATGACCACTTCCCCTTCTCCCTCGATCTGCATTTGTTTTCTGTGCTGTTTGCAAATATTAGCCTAAGAATTAGATGATGGGATTACTAGTGCAGGGTCAGAGAATACTCATTATTCCGGATGTATTTAGATGGAGGCACTTATTTCCTTGCCATAAGCTCTTGTGCAAGTCATTTTGCTTCTGTGGACCTCAGTTTATTTGTACATGAACTGATTGGAGGAAATGATTCCTTCCCAAAACTCTCGAAGAAAGTGTCCACAAAGCAACAGCATTTTCTACCAGCTTCAAGAGGAGGAAAGTTGTTGAAACCGGGCTTCAGTCACTCAGAGGATGGTGACAAGATTTTCTATGTAAATGACCCTGTCTTCTCCGGCTTTGCATGAAAAAGGAACCAGAGGTTTCTCCCTAGCTCCTCTCTTTCTGCAGTTGGAACACTTGGGAGGAAATGAAGTCCACTGCATAAAGTAGTCTTGGCAAATATATTAGTGCAAAAAGCCAGTCTTCCGAGATCATGTCCTATGTTCAGAATGTTCACCATACTATTCACACAAAAACCCTAGGATAGCCCTCTAAAAACCTCTGTCAAGATCTTTAAAGACAGTCTATAATTTTTATGTCTCAAGTATTCATTTTCTTCCTACTTGGAATACCCAAATATTGATATTCCTACCGGGAATACACAGATACACACACACCCGCACACACAAATATCTATATATGTATATTATACATGGGCATTTGTGCTTATATAATATATACTCATATATCATGTGTCATTTGTGCTTATATATATTCATACATGTGTAATGCAAATGATTTTGTATTATATGTATGTTTCTCTATTTAAATACATACACAGGTTATAAATATTAGTGACTCAGCAAGTAGCATTTACTATACCTGTTAATTAACTGGGTGCTGAAAATACAAAATGAAAAAGTCAAGGAGCCTGTCTATTTAGGGTTCTTGAACACTTTGCACTCATTTGCCATTTATTATTTGCAGTATATCTATATCAAGTCAACTGTGTTCTAGAACTCTGTAGGGTTAAAAAAAAAATCTGGTTATTATCAACTAAAGACACTGTTGGGGAGGAAAACTTTTCCTTCTAAGTTCCTTGGCTAGTCTAATGTGAGTAAATTGACATAAGACAGACTAATAGGAGAAAATCAAATTTAATTTCATACGTACGGTAGTCCCATTAAAATATGAGGCACAAGGGCATGTTAGGTCATTGTGGCTTATGTGCCATCCTGAGAAAAGGAGTGAGATAAGGGCCTGGGGCTTCAAAGGGGAGAAGGGTAATTGACAGGACAGTAGGAAGAGCAGAGGTTTGGGCATTGGATGTTTGCTCTGCTATACAGATAGGTCATTCAGATAAAAGTTATCTCTGGTAATAGCTTTCTCTCTACCAGACCCCCTGTTTAAATTCTTTTAGGTGGTTAAGGGAAGGATAAAAGTTTTTCTGGAGCCTGCTGGGTCTTGACTGTCCTCAGCTCAAAATAATCCCCATGCTAAAGGGGCATATGTTGGTGTTACATATTCTGTCCCCTTCAATGCTTTCTAGAGTTACCTATTTTTCTTAAGGAAAATGTCATACAGTTAGCGCTAATAAAAATATGTTTCCCCAAACCAGATTTTGCTATATATAATAATTATCAGATATTAGTACATTTTAAAAAGGCCAATAAAAACAGTAACAGCAGAGGCAGATTGCTAAATTGACCATTATAATTTCTAGGTGAAGCGTCTGTATCAGTGAAATAGGAGAATTGATGTCAATACAGATGTTTTGTGTTTAACTCTGTACCCTAATAAAGGTTTCCATTGAGAAAAGGATAACATCGGCTATGGGAGTTTAGAAAGAAGGGATTGAAAACAGGTATGTTCCCTTGTCAATGAGATGGTTTCTTCCCATTTTACATAATTCTTGTGAGTACTAAAAACCCCAGTTTCAGCATAATTGCAAAGCAACAAATTTGCTTTTATGTAACACTGAATAGATGCAGTTCTGAAGTTCTTCCTATCTCCTACCATTTCCAGATAGAGAAGTTGAGCTATGAAGTCTTCATCGTGACTCGGATGTCCTATTTGACCCTCTCCATGAACACGGAGTTAACCTCCTTAGTATTCTGGGTGACCCCATATTTCATGCTCATTATCTTGAGTGGCTCACAGATTTTTCCTCTGGATAGTCTAGAATTATCAAATTTGGTCCTGCCCTCAGAACCCCTTCCTAAGAAACATGCTCACCATGAACAAGCCTTTCTAGAGACTCCCAAGAATTAAGCCTTCCATTTTTTCCTGTTAGAATGGATGTGTAGACCATTGGCACAATATAGCACAGACTTGCAGAACTTACAGTTCTTGACAAACACATGATTTTATCATTGTTTCTCTTATCTCCCTTTATGCTTTTTGAATTGTTTCCATAACTCTCATCTGTAAATGTCATAATCAATGATCTCAAAGGTCTGTGAAATGCAGCTGTAATGGAAAGAAGTTGAAAGAGATTGGAGAGGGGGGAGAAGCTGTTTCTGTGGTCAAATGTCTTAATGTTGAAACCCTTATTAACAACACTATACACAGTAAAGGTTATAGGAAGGAAAATATTGGAAAAGAAAATTTTCAGGAATATATTTGGTACACTAGGCCAATCCAAGGTAACTACCAGAATGTTTTGAGGAGGAAGCAAATTTTCCCAATGTGTATTTTTATTCTGACTTTAGATATAAGAAAATCTGACAATACAATAAGAAAATGAAGAGACATCCATAGTAAATTTATAATGAAAATGGAAATAGATTTCAGACCTCTTGTACAAAGTCTCCCCAATAATATGTGTTCACTAATTTTCAGTTCACAGAATGTTTTAATATCTGAGCTTAACATTTGAGCTTAAGGTCATACTGGGGAAGAAGAATTATTTGCATCCATATTTTACAAATGAGTGATCATTGTGGCTTAGAGTTGGTTGAGAAAGCAGGCCAAGGTCACAAAGCTAATTAGTGAACAGAATCACAATTTGCACTCACATCATCTGACTTCACATACAGTGCTTTTTCACCCATTCTAGTCCACATCCCAACAATTTCCCTTCAAAGTGTAGTTTTTATGAATCTGTGAGAGCTCTGCACCCTCTAGAGTACTAAGGGGCCAACGAAAACAGTCCCTCAGGATGCATGTTTTTCAGATATTGCTTCATTCAATAATCAACAAATATTTATAAAGTGCCTACTATGTACCAGTCCTGCCTCAAGACCTTGGGAATACAGAACAAAATGCCTACTGTAGAAAGTCCGTCTTCAGAGGCCCTGTCCCATATCTGGAGTTTTTATCCCACTGTGTACACAAAGACTCCTTTTGCAAAGTTTTTTTATGAATGGGACTTTCAGCATTACTTATCAAATAGTTTTACTCTAAGTTTTAGGCTATCTCATAATATCCAAAATATTTTTCCAATAAATGTAAATAATCTCTGTCAAAACCTGTATTTTACCTCTGAGTGATAAATGTTATATTGCACTTTTACAAGATGATCAAAGTGCTATCTCAATATGTCCATCTCATACCTCTAGTTTGAGAGTGAAAGTTATTTTCATCAATTTACTCTGGAAGAAATTTAAAATACGTAAGATTATAAAAGCGATCCCTAAAGATCAATAACCTGGGATTAGAAGGAGTCTGATGCACCCTCCCCCATCTGCCTTCCTACATGAATTCAAGTATAGTTTGGAATGAAGTACAGTAAAACCTTGGATTGCAAGTAACTTGGTTTGCAAGTGCTCCACAAGATGAGCAAACATTTCTATTAGGTTCGTGCAAAAGTAACGACAAAAACTGCTATTACTTTTGCACCAACCTAATAATACATTTAAACTTGGTAAATGAGCGATGTCTTGCAATATGAGTAGTTTGTTTCTGGAACAAATTATGCTCACAAACCGAGGTATTACTGTATATACTACATGTTGATGCCATATTCTGGATTTTAGTGAATTCTTTATTATTTGGGGATGGTTAATGCAGTGCCATTATGGAAAGTAATTTGAAAATATCGTGTCATGATTTCCATATTTTGGGCAATTATTTGCATAGCAGCTATATAATAGTGAGGTATAAACAATCTCAAGCTAGTTACTTATCTTTTCTTACTATTAAAACATTCAAATACCACACCCAAACCCTTAACTCTTGCTTTAATAAAGTTTTCTGGGCAATACCCAGGATGAGACACAAACACACATACATACAGACACATATGTGATACTAACATAAATCAAAATGTCAATTTTTTTGAGAATGTTGTATGTATACTTTGTTA